AAAGGAGTTTAACTACTACTTAGAAAATAGTATCTTACAATACAAGTAATAATGATTACAATGACATTGCTTATATTTGTGTTGAGTGTAAAAAAGTTCTTGATGATGATACTTTGCCACATTGTAATGATTGTGGTAGAATTATGAGAAACAGAATAGGCTGTTTTTGTGATTTAAGGAAAGATGAACCAGTCAAAACTCCAACCATAACAGAAATAATGGTACAGAGTTATGCTGGCAGATTAGAACAGCAGAATAAAGACTTAACTATCCAGTGCTAAGGAAGAAATCAGTTCTCATTTGGAAGCTTTAGAAGTTTCAAAGGATTGGCATAACAAGTAGAAGCAAGAATTATTAGATAAAATTTAAAGACTTGAAAGTGAAGTTGAACAGTTAAAGAAACAGCAGACTCAACTAACTGCTCAAATTGAAGTTAAAGACATTAAAAATGACCTTGGTTGAAAGAAATAAAAGGTAATTAAAATTAACAAGTTGAAAAAAAGTGATTATTTGTTTTAGTTATCCCGCCAGTTTTCTTTTTTTTTCTTGATTCTTTATTAGAATTCTCTAATGCTCTTTGAAAACTCTTTCCTCTTGATAAATTTCATAGGTAGTCCTTTCTTTGTCTAAATATGTTTGCAAAGATTTGGTATCTGTTAATTTAAAAATGTAAGGAGCAATTTTTTCACTTTGTTCTTTCTTCAACATACTTAATTCTTGGGTTCCATGGTAGACCTAATGTAAATTAACTTCATACTAACTATTTTTGTCTAGACAAATATTGTGACATACACTGGTAATACAATTGTGATGTTAAGCAAGCACTATTGATCCTAAAATTCTTGGTAATACCATGTTCACTTTGTCTGGTTTTGTTGTAGCATGCCCCATATTAAACAATATAATATTAATAATTAAAATTTTCTAAAAAAAGATGTGTGCACACAGGTAGTGTAATATTATACCCACTGCTGAATCTTCTAAATTTTGATTTCTGAAATTCTTGTATATAATACAAAAATGTTCACTTTGTCAGATTTGTTGCAGTGTGCCTCATTTAAAATTTTTTTTGAATGATGATTTTGATTGATAAAATTTAATAGAAGCAAATTTATATATAGTGTGTCTCAAAAAAAAAGATGTCACAAAAATATCATATATCTCAACAATTACACAACATAGTTGAATAAAATTAGATTCATTTGAAAGCTTTATCAATTACTTTATTAAATAATAAAAAATAAACATGAAATGCTATTGCCAATTTTCTGTAAAGTTATTTCATATATTTTTTTTTCTAATTTTTTGTCTCTGAAATTTTAACATGGAATGTTTTTAATGATAGCTCTGATACAGGCATATACATAAGAATTATACAAAAATTTATACCAGTTGTAGCCAAAGTTCTGAAGATTATGCATACTTTCAGATTTTCTAGAATTTTGGTAAATGAAAATAAAAGAAATTTGATTATTTGAAAAACCATTCAAATGTGTAAATTTCTTTAATAATTGTTCTAAAGCCTACATAACAATATGCTTCAAAAGTTTTCTATGTTATAATCTAAGATCTCCCAACTCTCTGGTATAAATTTTTATTATATAATTTTGGCTACTTTTCATTAAAACAATATCTTGCATACCATTTTTTTGAAATCACACTGTATATGTCAGACTTTATTCAAGATTTCAAGATCCATCACATGGTACTGTTGCAGCAGGACCCAAACAATTATATACACTCTATGCTAAAGAATTTAATTTTTGTCCACTTTAAAAGCTATGAACATGAAAATTTGTCAAAATAAATGGCACCCATCACCTATAACTAATGTTATGTAAAAAATGAGATTATTTTTAATCTTATATTTTATATATCCTGTGTCAGTGAAAAATAGGATAGAAATGACCAAAATTTGCCCTGTTACATGGCTTTATCTCAGGTCCTAATCAATGGTTCCTCTCTACTATCTGATAAATCACGTGTTAGATACTGTGTAAAGTTTACAACATAATTGTCTGGGGGAAATAAAATGTGATAATTCGCTTCATTCATTCTATGGTAAAACGGGGGAGTTGTGCATTGTAAATATGTATTACATATTTTTAATCAATTTTAAATTAATAAATGTCACAACAAGATTACGTTGTTAAAAATAAAATGTGATAATAATAATAATAATAAATGTGATAATCTTAAAATTTTGATTAGATTATTAGATTATCATTCTTTATTTTATTAAATGGGCATGCTGCACGCGCATATTTATTTATACGCCATCCGTCATCATCCTTAAAAAACTTAAAAATAATAATTTTAAAAAATAAAGAAAATGTCTATTTTATTTAAAAGAAATTTGTATTTAATATCAAAGTGTATTATCTGTGCACTCTTATTTACTTTAATAAGCGGATCTCCGCTTCGCTTATTAGATATAAATTATCAGGAGTGTGTGACTCAGCAGAATGTTGGTTATAGGCTTATTCAGACGAGTGATGATTATCCAGCAGACTGGCTGGATGAATCTATGATATTAAACCTCATAAGAAAGGGGATAAAGTTTATGGATATAACAGATTATACACAGCTCGGGTCTACTATTAAGGCATTCAAAAAACATGGTAAATTAATAATATTAATTATATTAGTTAATTAGTTGTAACATTAATATATTAATAATTAATTTTTTTATTATTGTTACTTGTTATTTTATTAATATCATTCATTCAATTAATTAATTAAATTTTTTGATTTTTAGCGTATCCTCCAAGCCCTTCGTTTCGGGATGAAGTGGAGCCAATAATTGGCAACCTAACCACAACTTATATGAAAAAAAATCTTGAAAAATTCACAAGTTTTCAAACTAGGTATTACCGATCACAATATGGAGTTCAATCTTCTGACTGGCTATTTGATCAAATATCCAACATCATAAAAAATGCAAATCCCGACAGTAAAACGAATATTACAGTTGTAAAGTTTGGACATAAGTGGCCGCAAAATTCGATTATTGCCAGATTTGAAGGTTACAATGTCGATAGTTCCAATGAAGTAGTTATCGTTGGAGCTCATCAAGACTCTGTTAATATGTGGTGGCCATCATTTGGTAGGGCACCTGGCGCCGACGATGATGGAAGTGGTACAGTGACAATTTTAGAAGCATTTAGGTCGCTGGTGGCAAGCGACTTCAGTCCAGCTTTGCCAGTTGAATTTCACTGGTACTCCGCTGAAGAAGGTGGTCTTTTAGGATCACAAGATATTGCATTAAAATATGAAAGCGATAAAAGAAATGTTATCGCAATGTTACAAGTATGCAACGAGAGAATTTCTTTAAATAATTAATTATTAACAAAAAATCATTAATCCATTGTAATGTTTTGTTTTAAAAGAATGACATGACGGGATATATAGGAAGGAATCCCGAAGCTTTTGGAATAGTGTTTGATCATGTTGATCTTGATTTGACCAATTTCGTCGGCAAACTTATAGAAGCCTATGCCAAAATTCCTATGATTAAAACCAAATGCGGGTAAATTTAATATTTGTTTATTTATTTATTTATTTTTTTTTTTTTGAATTCTTTGGTGACAATTCAAAAATTATAATTAATCTTATATATAAACTCTTTTTTTTTTTTTGATATAGTTATGCTTGCTCTGATCATGCATCCTGGTTAAAAGTATGTCTATCAACGCCACTACCATTTCTGTTATTGTTATCATTATTATTTGAAAAAGAATTAATATAAATAACATTTATTTTAGGCTGGGTATCCATCTGCTTTTGCGATTGAAGGAGAATTTGACGACACCAATCCGCATATTCACTCTACGGGTGACCTCGTCGAATATCTCAATTTCGAACATATGTTAGAATTCGCAAAGGTATTTATTATAAAGATTGTGAATGTTAATGAATTAAATTGATAATTTTTTTCTTATGAAAACGGAAATTTACTGATTATAAAAACAATTTGTCATACAGCTTTCTGTAAGTTTTGCGGTAGAATTGAGTCATGTTTAATATCATTTATTTTATTTCTATTTTATATATATATTTTATTTACATCAATCAATTTAAATTTTGTTTATTTTATTGATCAAATTGAGAGTGCTAAATTAATTGATTGATTGAGATGCATTCGTTGATTGATTTTCTTCTTCGAATTAATAATATCAATCAATACTTGGTGATATTAATAATAATAAAATTGTAAAATTTCGCAAAATTTAAATTAAAATTTTTATTTGTCTTTGTATTGTCTTAAAATATAAACGATCGTCGCCAGCATCCAATAAATACAGCGTATTTGGTGATAATCTTCATTCTTTCTTTGAAACTGTGTGCAATGTGTGCAATGATACATGTGTTGTACAATATTTATTATCTCGTTCAACGAATATATATATTCTACCTTTTTTTTAAAAAAATAAAAAAAAAAGAACCAACAAGTAAAGAGTATATATACACAAGAATATATACACACATTATTTATATTATTTATTTATAAATCATTAATATTAAAAAAAATACAAATTAAATTAAATTTTTTTGTATTTATTTATTTATTTGTCTCTTGAAACTTTTTTCTTTTTAAAAAAAAAGTTCTTTATTACATTAGAGAGTGTGTGAAGGAATAGAGTAAAATCTATAAACAGGGATTCTTTAAAAAAGTATTCTATAAAAGTATTTTATTATCATTAATTTTTATTATTAATTTTAATTTGCCTTTCCTTTTAATTTTTATCTTTTTTTTTAATAAAAAGAATTTCTCCTACTTATTTATTTGTAACGTTTTTTTAAAAAATTATTTAACATCAAGTTTAAATAATTTTTTTTTTTTGAAAAAAAAAAACCATTTAATAATCAACAAGCTAGCCTTTTTTACCCGATATTCAAACATCAAACAACCCCTCAAAAAAGTTTTCATTTATAAATAATAAAATATACTACACATACACACGCACGCACGCAAACTTATATAACAAAAGAATATAATAATGTCAAGTAAATTAAGTACACGTTCTCGTCGTCGTAAGCACGCAATCTCACAACTTAATTTAATGGTAGTGGGTTTTAGATCACTTGGGAAAACCTCTTTCATTCGCATGCTTTATGATACACTTTACATACGTAAAAATTCCAAAGAAGAAGTTGAATTACCAGCCTCCTTATTTCAAAGAGCCGAAACTGTGCAGGACGCAGAAGAGGCGCGTACAAAAGAATTATATTCTTTCACATTAGATATTGAAGAAGAAGGAGAAAAAATTTCTTTAACGCTGGTCGATTCGCCTGGATTTGTAAGGGATAATGAACTTAGACTTGATGTACAAGTAACAGAAGCATTACGATATATCGAAGCTCAATTCGATCAAACATTAGCCGAGGTAACTAATCATAATTTTGATCGATTGATGATAATTAGTGATTATAGTAGTAATCACTTTGGTATTTATTCATTAAGTCAAGGTATTATTTATCAAGTAAATCAGCACGCATTCATTCACTAATCAACCTAGATACATATTATCTATATTATTTATTAATAGGAAACTAAAGTTAAACGCAATCCAAAAGCACAAGACAGTCAAATACATGCATGTATTTATTTTATAGATAATGCAAATAATGGACTAACAGATAAAGATATTAGAATTTTAAAACGTTTAACAGCTCGAGTTAATGTGATACCGGTAGTTGCCAAAGCAGATCTACTTACAACAACGCAACTACGTAATCTTAAAAAAGCTATCAATCGAGATCTTAAAACACATCAAATCCCTGTTTTTGATTTTCCAGTTGACGAAGAAGAATTAGAACCAGATATTGCCGAGGTGATAGTCAATGCACAATCACAGATTCCATTTTCCTTGATTGCACCAGAAGATGCCGATATTATAGATCCGTCAACAGGCGAGAAGATTCGTGGTAGGCAGTATGCATGGGGTATAATCGATTGTCTGAATCCAAGCCATTGCGATTTTGTCCTATTAAGGAATGTCTTATTGTCGAGTCATCGTAAATTGTTCAAGGATATCACCCTGGAAGTCTTTTATGAACAGTATCGAACTGAAAGATTGATGGCCAGAAAGGCGAGTAAGATGATTACAAAGGAACAAAAGAAGAAACTTTTGGAGGATTTATCAGAAATCTAAAAAATTATCCAAAAAAAATTATATATATATATATAAAAATAAACAAAAAAAAAAATTTTTTTTATTATAATGATTTCTTGAAAAAAAAAATTTTTTTTTTAATTTCTTTGTATATTATTGGTTATTTCAAAAAAAAAAAAATAATGATGATAATTATTATTATTATAATTATTATCTTCTTTCTCAAATAACAAATTTATGTCTTATATGTGTGTGATGGAGGAGGGATAGGAATATATATATAATTTTTTTTGGTATATATATATATAATATACTATTTTTTTTAAATTTTAGTCTACAATGTTAACTTTAGATTTCTTTTTTATCTATATCTACATCTACATTATATATTATTAATAAATATCAGGTTCCTAATCCAATTGGAAAATGAAACGTTATTGAGAGAGAAAGAAAAAATATAATTTATATAATATTTACCCGACCGGTTTTCGGGTCTCACAAAAAACAAAAAAATCTACTCGCGCACATTCATTCTATCACTCACTAACACACACACACACACACACACACACACGCTCTCCCGCTATCACTTCTACTAACACCAACATTAACACTAACACCAACGCTCCTTCATACACACTATTCTCACACCAAAATAAAAAAAGAATAATAACATCTTCAATTCCAACTATCAACTACTATCATTACTTACTTAAAACCAAAAAAAAAAAACAAAAAAATCTTTTTTATATTCCAACCCTCTTCATAGTATATATAAGAGAAGAATATTTGAAAAAGGAGATGTTCTTATTTTATTTTTTGTTTATTTTTATTTTTTATATTTAATTATTCAACTATTTTTATACATACATACATATTTTTTATATTTTATTAATTTATTAAATCATCTATCTATCTACTATATAATTAATCCATAAGCAAAAAAAAATATTAATAATAATAGAAGAATTAATATTTTTTGTGAATTTAATCAACAATTATTATTATTTTTTTTTTTTAGAAAAATTTTATTAATTAATTAATTTTAATAATAATATAATAATATAATTTATTTCGCACATTAAAAAAAATAATGGTGATAAATTTTTTTTGAAATTGGCAACGCGTGTAAATCAATATGCATCCAAATAAATGAATCTTCGATTATATCATTATGAGATCGTAGGCCTCATCGTGAGGATTGTATGCATCACCATGACATTATTGCCTATTTATAACAATGAATGTTTTCCCAAAGTATTGTATAATCGCAATTAAAGAAAGTGAGTGACACGGCCCTTATCTTACTTGTCAAGTTATTTTTGGTTTACGTAATTTATTTTTAAATCTTCCTCCTCCTTCCTTTTTTATTATAACCGGTTGAGAATTTCCAAAAAATTCAATGTCTATTTTTCAAACCCTAGGGTAGTTTTAGGTAACACACACAAAATAAATTATTTTAAATTTTGAATTCAAAATTTCCCTATCTACAAAATCAATTATTCGTTCGTTCGTTCGTTCGTTCGTTCATTTATTTTAATGTCACCACAACTGCAACCACTACAATAATGATTGTTATCTTTTATCGACAGATGAAAGATGATAAGATGTTCATTTTTATTCTTTTAAAGTTTGTAAGAAACCTTGTTTTGTATAATAAACTTATAAGTATTCGTTGTCGTATTTATAAATTAAAAAATGTTGTTGAATAAATGGATATCATTGTAATTTTCATTTTTAATAAAGTGAGAGAGGCCAGTTGTTTTTTATTTTTTAAAATTTCCATTTTAAAAAAAACCAACAAAAGCGTTGCAAAATTTTTTGGGATCAGCCTATTATTAGACCATAAAACGTTTATTTATATATTTATTTATTTATAATATACTAAACTATACAATAAATAAATAAATCCCTTTTATACATATACATATAAAAATTTTTTTCTTTCAAATAATATATTTTTTCTTTAAATAACAAAAACATATTATATAAATAATAAATACAATTTTGTGATTAGTCTTTACAGAAAAAAATTCTATATATATATAATAAATAAATTTTTGGAATTTTTTGGAAATTTTTTTTTTTTTAATAAAAAATTTATTTAAATATTTTTAATTAAACAACAACAACAACAACAACAACAACAACAACAACAATAATAAAATAAATTATTAATTATGCCGCCTAATCCACCTGAAGAGTTTTTACCTGGAGCTACTACAGCTTATGACCCTGGAATGATTGAAAGTTCTACCACCACACCAATTTATTCACCAAAACGAAAACATTCTAAAAGACGCTCCACAAATTCAAACTCTTACAAACTATTTGATTCAATTACCACAAATGAAATTAATAACGGTAACAACAGTAATACTATTACCCTTATTAATAATCATAACAACAACATAAATATAACGAAGATGAGTTCTTCAATACTTGCAAATGGAGCTACAAATAATTTAAACAATAATAGTAGTAGTACAAGAGTAGAGGCTGAATGTGTAATACCTGCTTATCCATCAAAACAAGCTCCAACTAGAAAAAGATCTTTCTCAATACAAGATTCCTCATCAATCTCTTCACTATCGTCGCCATTAACAATAAGTCCAATACAAATTAATGCTAATTCCAATATCAATGTCGTTGACCCGATGTTTTATAATATAAATTTAAATAACCTTAAACCAATCAATGATAATATCAATGATAATAATAATAATAATAATAATAATTCACCTACACCGGTTAATTTACTACATCAAAAATATGAATTAGGAGCTAGTATAAATAATGACTTTAATAATCTTCTTAGCAGTAATAACAATAATGTTAGATATGGTTTAGATTACATTATAAATAATTTAATTAAATTCATTTCAAGTTATGTAAATTTAGAAATCATAAAATTTATCGTATTATGTTTATTATGGTATGCATCATCAGCAATAACCAACAATATCGGAAAGCAAATTCTCAATCAATTCAATTATCCTTTGACACTGACCTGGATACAGTTTGGATTCGTTGCATTTTATTGTTATTTATTTGGAAATGGTCTTGGATTCACTAAATTAGAATATCCAAGTCATCAAATACTAAACAAGACTTTACCCTTAAGCTTATTCTCAATAACCGGACATGTATTTTCAAGTTATGCCACAAGTAAAGTTCCTGTTAGCTTTGTACATACTATAAAGGTACTTTATCATTATATTTCATTATATTTATGTTTATTTTTTTTTTTTAAAAGATTAATAAATCTAAATTTTATTTTATACATTTACATCATCCAACCGTCAATTTTTAAAGGCGCTTTCACCTTTATTTACAGTGTTCTTTTATAAGTTTGGTTTCAAAGTTAATTACTCATCAAAAGTTTATATATCATTATTACCTCTTACAATTGGAGTGATGCTTGCCTGTTCCTCTTCTACAACTTCTAACTTTATCGGGTTTCTTTTTGCATTAGGCTCAACAGTTATATTCGTAGCTCAAAATATTTTTTCCAAAAAAATTCTTTTCAATAATAATTTAGTTGGCTTAAAAAGTCACAAATTAGATGAATTAAACGTATCATTTTATTCGAGTTTACTAGCTTTCGTATTAATGTATCCTATGTGGTTATATTACGAAGGTTCAACTTTAATGTTTAATTATTGGTGGTTGGAGCCGTCTCTTTCCTCCTCTTCACCGTCATCATCATTACCATCAAATGGTTGGATAATAATCTTTTATTTTTGGCTTAATGGTTCATCTCATTTTGCTCAAAATATTTTGGCTTTGTCAATCTTATCAACAACCTCACCTGTAACTTATTCAATTGCATCTTTGGTTAAAAGAATATTTGTAATAACTGCAAGCATTATATGGTTTGGTCAAAAGACTTCTCTTATACAAGGCATAGGAATAACTTTAACATTTTGGGGTTTATACATGTATAATCAAGCAAAAAAAGATGTAGAAAGAAAAGAGAGAAAAGTACGTGGCGACGAAAATTTATTGCCTATAACAATATCAGATGATAATGGCATTGATTCAAAAAGACATCAAAGTTGATTGATTGATTAATTGATTAACAATTGGTTTTAATTTTTATTAATAATAATACTTTAATTTAATGAATAAATAATTTAATGAATAATTAGACGAAACTTTAGTTTATTGTTAGGATTATAAAAATATAATACACAATATATATATTTATTTAATAATAATTGTTATTATTGTTATTATTATTGTATAATAAGATTAGAAAGAAAGAAAAAGCGGATGTTTTTCTTTCGAGGGAAAAAAACCAATTTTTGTACTTGATAATAAAAATTTTTTTTTCAAAAGAAAAAAAAAAACAAAATGAATAAATAAAAAAAAAACTAAACATACAAAACAAAAATTAATAATAATAAAATTTTAATGCAAAAATTTTTACCTTTAACTATGTCGAGTTTACGTCGTCGGCACAATGACCATTTCTTATTTTTACTCTCACAAACATTATCCACACTGGATAATTTTCCCAACAAAACATCATCGGTTCTTGCAAAAATACATACAGAAGGAAGATAATCTAGCGACGTTTTCTTGTAAAAAAAACTGTTGGTTTGAATCTTCGACGTGCCGTGATAGATGAACGACTATTATGTGTAAATCACTTGACCCGGATTCTAATAATAGTAACGTTTAGACGTCTTGCCGGAAGTCATATACAATTAATCAGATCATAAGATAAATCGAAAAAATATTTAATGAATAATCATATTATCGGCAAATATTAGTACTTATTAGAACTTTGTGGTCCTTTTAGTTTTTATTTTTTTATACGTTAATAATAAGCGCACACGTACTTTTAATCGTAATTACGATTATTTTAAAAAAAAATTTCAATCAAAAATCAGGAATTCCTTTAATAATATGTATTAATATAAATGTGGTGTTATGTTTTCTACAAAACATCAAAGCCTCAGTGACCCATGAAAATTTCAGTGAAGTCAAAAAAAAAGTAAAGGCCATTTTCGGACTGGGACTTTGTCAACATCACGTGACATCTAAAACAAAACAGGATAAAGGCACATAATCCATCATTAAAACATACCAAAAATGGAAAAAGAAATAGTACATACCAAGACCAATGACTCGAACAACGGTGTATTAACAATTAATTATCCAAAACTCATACAAGTCATAGTAATGCTTAATATGGTTAGTTTGATAGCAATTAATTTTGTACAGTGTTACCAAAACCAAAAAACAAAAACAAAACAAAATAAGAATCTCTTATATTATAAATAGGTTTCTGTTTTGATATATTAATAAATCCAGCCGGCAAAAAAATTTTATAATTTAACAAAAGCAGCATTGGAAATCATCATCGTACAGTCAAAAGCTCGTTCGTTGTAGCAAAATATCGTTATAGTAATAGTGGTTTTTTTGTTTTTCTGATTTTTTTTTTATAATGCTTTTATAGTTAACTGCCTCTCGCCACAGTGGAAAAAATAAAAAAATGCATATGGAACTGAGGGTCTATTGTAACGGGCTTTGACTATAATTTACTGGGAAAAACCTTTCCGGTTAACTTTCTTTTGCTTTCCATTGTTCCCATATTTTACATAGAATCCTTCAACTAGATTTATTGCTTTAATTAAGAGATTTTCAACCTACAGAATTTATTTACACCGTATATATTAAATATATGCAAGTTGATTAATGTTTCAGAAAACCATAAAATTATGATTTAAAAAATATATAATTCATAAATTTGATTGGTGATTACTATCATTACAAACTAAATTGCACGTCCAGGGAAAATATGATTTCAAAACCAATTCTTCAAGCTGTCGGGAATTTATCGATCTTCATCACAAAGAATTTGTATAATGAATATATCGAATATTAATTAATTAATTAATTAAATATTTATTATTATTATTATTATTATTATTATTATTATGAACCTATTTTGTTATCTACAATTATATAGTGTATCGGGTTTTGCCTATAGTGGATTTTTTTTGTTCCCAACTCTCTTTATAATAAAATTTGTTCGCTATAGTGAACTTTTAGTCTTTTTAATAAAATATCTTTATCGTGTGTAGTGGAAACTTGATATTAATGTATGGTGTACCCGATCCTATTGCTGCACCGCATAGCCAAATAACCAATAAAATTTTTAAATTTTATTAAAATTATTTATTTATATGTATAAAATTATTATTAATATTAATTCGGCAAAAACTATCAATACCCTCCAAGGCCATTGCCTCAAGTAAATTTGGTTAAATGTAAACGATGCTTAAGTAGCATGTTATTTATGTGTAAAATAATCTTCTTGGTAATAACACAATAATAATAGTAATACCTCAATACCTTTACAAAAAATAGGCTTTGGCTGTAATTAATTAATAAAGCCAGTGCGATTTATTGATTCATAATCCTTTATAATGAATGATTAATGGTTTGGCTAACCTTTAATTATTGGTCAGGGGCACCTTTTAATTTTACTATTTTGCTTGTAGGGATGCATCAAGTAGTACAATTGTGAATATTTCCTTGTATATATATTTTTTAGTTATTTTCATTGTAAAGCATTCCTGAGTTGGTAAGTAAGGAGTAACAGTCAAGAGGACATCCGCCAAGAAACGTTATCAGGAAGGGCAAAAGTAAAGAAGGATCAGCCATATAATTTATTGAACAGGCTCAGATCGCACATTTGCAGTAATAATTATATGTCAATATTTAATTAAATATACAGTCCCCCAAAAAAGTAATGGCGGGGTGTTTTTTTATTATTAAAAAATTTTTTATATAACAATTATAAAAAA